CAATAGTAACCCTAAGAGTTTGTGACTATCAACCTTTTCTATGTCCGAGTTATCAAGTTTGAGTTCCAGTGAACAATCGTCAAGCTTTCATCGTATACGTCCCTGTAAAAAGGAGACATTTCGTATTCGCAGCGTTTGTAACCATTTTGTTGGCAGCTCGACCATCGTGAGACGTCATCTAAGTCCTGTTGAAGGGCTGATGACATGGCAGTGAGTCCATTAGTCTCGTCTGATGATAAACTGTGAGTAGTGCCATCCGCATAGATGTCTACGGTAGAATGCAGTGCTGCCGATGGTAGATCGTTAATAAACAAGAGAAACAAAATGGGGCCCAAAATGCTCCCTTGCGGTACTCCAGCCGAAACAGTTCTAGGGGAGGAATGACAGCCATTGATGTGTACATACTGTGTGCGTCCACTTACATAACTGCGTAGTACGTCCAGCTCGTTATCACGTACCCCATAGGCTTTCAATTTCTCTAATAGCAGACCGTTGTCTATGAGGTCAAAAGCCTTTTTATAGTCAATAAACACAAGCCCCGATGCACCGTTCCTGTCCAAGTCGAAGAGTAGCTGATTGACTGGGCGGATAAAAGGGCTGTCTCGGTAGAGTGGAATTTGCGGAAGCTAGACTGAAACCTATGTAGCAGAACATTTAAAAACGCTTGAAATTCTTGGGAGGTTGGTTTTCGGAGACGTTCTCAATTTCATTCAATTTTAATGTCAAGAGAAAATAATGGGGCATTATGCTCTCTTGATGTGTCGCCATTAAAATATTCTGCACAATTGTTCACTTTTAGGTAGTCGCGTGTGGACTCGATGACGTTTCAAACAATCGATTGAGATATGCAGATGTGCCAGGAATCAGACTTCCGTTTAGTTACAATCTCTAAAAATAACTTGAATGAGATTCATATATCCCATTCAACGCAATGAGATTCTTTAATTCTCTGTCCCATATTCTCGCTTCACATCTATCATTCCCCTGTCGCTCGACTCAGTAAAGCATATTTGATCATATCCCAGGACTGTGAGTTTAACAAACAAACATTCTAGATCAGTACTCAGAGTTGCCATTGCAGGAAAACATGAGGGTCAGGGCGCGGTTAGAGTGGAATTATGGGTAGGACAGTGTAGTGGCGGTGATACCCTGGGTGATGCTAGCACTGGGTGGAATTCAGTGTCCTGGATAATGACTGAAGAAGTATCTAGGCCCCAGTCATAGTAAGGGAGTCTCGATTACTCTTAGGCGCTGTTTCACTTTGTAAGAAGAGCATGTACTTACAAATATAGAAAAATATAGAAAATGTAACATGTGTAAAGCACACGGTCAGGGGTATTAAATGCATGAACTTTTTTTTCTTTTTCTTATTTTATTGTTATTGTTACTTTTTATTTTTTATTTTTCTAATTTGTACCGACTATTTACTGAATAGGATGCAGTAGATGGAATTTGATGAGTTTCTCAGTGGCTTTAAACCTACCACCCCCTCCCGCCCCGCCCCCCACACATCATTACTTCCGATAATTCTCACTGTATCGTATTAAATGAACTTGGCTGTCATGTGGGTTGTCGTAGAGTTTTTTTGGGTGCCTTGAGCAAATTTTTCCTTATGAATTATTACGACTGGCAAAGTCTGCCGCGTCCAATATCTTCTCGTATTTCGTCTAATTTCGGGCTACACGGGTGAAAGACTGATCCCGGGCATGAGACGGAAAGATTGGATCTTGCGAGCTTTGTTTTTGGCAGTAACAACTCTTTGGCCTCACAATGTAGGTTCTAGGGATGAACTTTATTCGACGAGATAGAAGTTGATGCTGATTTCTGACCAGGCAAAATTATTTGTTAAAAATTGTTTTGAAGGCGGGTGCTCTATGTCTCCTTTTCAACCGCTGGTTTACATCCGCGCGGGATCTTGAATAACTCGACTGTATGAATCGAAGTTTCCATGCGACGATTTACTTAGAGAAAGCGAGAGTCTTACGCAGTAATTTGACAAATTTTTCGCCCGTGTTAAGCGTGGAAATATCATAAGTGCCTCTCAGAAGTATTGTGTTGCCGCGAAAGTCATGATTTACTGAAGGTGTTGACAGACAAAACTCAGGTATGGGGTTGAGCTAGTGTTACCAGAAAACTTTGTGCCAAGCATAAAAACGCTTCGTGAGTGTTTAGACGTGTAGGTGATTTTGTCTTAGAAAACCTATTCTGAGCTCAAATATTGTGGATTTTAAATCTAGCGTTTTCGGTAGTGACTTAGCTATGGGCTTCATGGTCTAACTGACTAAAAAGTAAATACTTTCCCGACGTTTCCAATGTTGTTTACTTCATCACAAAATCCTGCATGTTACTTCTGGGAGAGAAATTTACCGTCTGTAAATGCCGGCAATAAACTTATGATTGTTGAGCCTTAGCTAGTGACTTTTCACTGTTGTCCATACGACTTAGATAATCAAATTGTTAAAATGCACTTGAATAAGCCACGTTTAAGCAAGTTCAGTCAGATCTACAAGGTTAAGAATAATATTTGTACTAAACACATTGCTAACCTTTTCCAGAGGACAGACACCAAATATCCACTGACGAACAATACCTTGATTAAATACGATTACACATGGCGGAAGGCTTTTATTAAGTATATTGGCCCTAAGGTAAGGAATCGACTGCCTAAAGGGATCAGGGACCTTCCTAAACTATTTGTGTTCAAGCAGCATATTCGACAGCTTGACCTAAATTCCTTGCTTGCTGAAGCACAGCTAGCTGTGCTCAAATTGCACTCTACTGTAGTGCGTAATAAACACACTTCTATTTTTTTACGAAGCTCATACGCACTTGTGAATAGCTTTTTGTTTTGGTAAATTTAGTAATAATATAATATACACATGTAATAATCTTATAAATTTTACACTCGGTCTCTGGTCAATAATGGTACACTTGTAAATAGTTTTATTAATTTCATTTGAATTGCTACAATAGTTGCTTACTTTGATTCAAAGTATCCCCATTTAGTGTTCCCCTACTGCTATGTTAGTTTTACACTCAAATAAAGGTATTGAGTGACTGACTGATTGATTGATTGATTGATTGGTTAATCCGCGGGTTTTTGGCCACTGTTCATCTTTTAATTTCGTTTTGTTTTCGAAAAATCATAACGTGAAAACCAGCCCTGCAGTTACACCTATACAAGAACAAGTTTTCTTCAACAAGGTAAACTACATTGCTGCTTAAGCTCCCTAATGTTACGTGCTACTTGACTCACAATTTTGTTATCGCACAAGCGCGAGGAAGCTATAGCACCTCTGACATAAATATCTCGCCACTGTTTTGCAGCAAGTATACGTTTCAAAAAGTAGGGTCACGTTCTACATTATGTGACGTCCGCTGCAGCTAAAATAAGAACGAAAACGGGGAGACCGCCCCGAGGACTAACTCCTTAACCATTTACATACCATTTTTAACAGAAAAGCCGAGGTACCCTTTCGTATTCCGTCTATTGGCCTGAACCAAAGCCGGCAAACACCGTAAACGCCACATAAGCCCTCCTCTTCAGTTATGCATGGGCCCATATCATGGCTTTAAACGAAAAAAAAAAAAAAATACATCCGAATATAATCCCCACCGGGTATAATAAGCTCCCCTCTTGCTTGAACTGAATTGAATTCGATTTATGGGCTTATTTAACGACCAGTAAATGCAAAAACATCTGTTTTGATCAGCACTGCTACAGCTTATTTCGAAGCGCTTTTTCTATGCCTGCATCTATAGGCCCCCTCCGATATTAAATCCCCTCCGTTTATCCGGGCCTTCCTAAAACCCCTTAAGAAGATGTATAGGCGACATTTTATGGTAATAGTTTAATAATGAAGACGATCTGTTAAGAATGAGCAATATTTAAGAGGAGTTGAAATAACTCGGTGTCTGTTGGTTCATAGCCGTTAAAAAACTGTTTACTTCTTGTTCTTGTTCTATTTTATTATTTTTTGTGTGTGTGCGAACAATCATCTCAGTAACGTCACAGTAGTAGAGAAAGAAGATATTTTGTACCTCTCACACATAACTAGCACTAACAGAAAGTCTTCTTGTCGTTTTCATGCAGCGTTTAAATTTAATTTAAGTGTAGTTTCAGTGGCTGTAAAATTGCCAAATTTAAAAGCGATACTTCTTAAGCGTGCAGAGATATAGCTCAGCAAAGTTGTGAAAATCTACAGACCTTTGTACGTGGTAGGGAAGGGAGGGAGGGGGGGGGAAGCAAGTTTGTGCCGGCCCCCATCATACAAACGTCTGTAAAATTTAGCGACTTTGAGGACTTATATCTTTGTCAGTTTTCAACAATCACTTTCAAAAATTGGCAATGTTACTCATTTTAAGGCGTTCTTTCCAGTGGTGCCAAATGCCGATATATTTTTCTTAACTTCTCAATATAAAAAGTAGACAGAAAGAAAGTAACGTGAAATAGTCTATACTGAATTGTAATAGGTACCCTTTAGGGAAGCATTAGGGAAGCACCTCCCCGTAAAGGTTTATATGGGGAGCCCCCCTCCCCAACTCCAGCCCCCCCCTTCAATGTATAAGATGTGGGGGTTTAAAAATAAACACACTGTCTAACACCAGACACGTTAAAGCTTGTTTAGCTGGAGCTTAATGGAGCCGCTACTTTTCCGACATTACATAGCCAACTTGGACTGAAGGCAAAGTACTATTTTTTGGCGCTCTAAATAGGAAAGGCATCGGGTACCGTTAGAAACACAAAGTCGTGATAGCATGCATAAAACTTTGTTGCTTTAAAGAATTTATGTTTTTCCATTTATTTTTGGAATGTTCATCTTTTGACCCTGTTTCAGTACCCTGAATGGAGCATAAACAGAGAATAAGAAGATGCAAAAAAATTGCCATAAAAGGAAAAAGAAACAAGCAAAAACAAACAGACAATATACCGGAACAGAGGATTTACTTAAAATATTTGCTATAAAATGATGAGCACGTAGCACTGATTTCAGTAAACGCTGTATTCTCGTTCTATTCTCACCGCCATGGTTCAGTATTTCGCTGTTTTTCTGATTCTCTCTTTTTTTGGCGGCTCTCTGGGAACAACCACCTCACCTCAGCAACAAAACGCCTCAAAGTTAAAAGACTTATGCCAGGTAAGAAATGCATAGAGATATAAAAAGGAGAACTTAACTGCATCGTAGATTAGGTACACCCAGAAACCGTTTTATTATTCTAACGTCGTTATCATCATTTACTTAAAACTACCCGTTAAAAGTGTAAGACAGTTTCTTTAAATGTCCTCGCTTCGGCATGATCTTTCCTCGAAGACCTTAAACTTGTCCATTGTTTACTGTTAATTTTCTCTGATTCCATCCACGTCCATTCGAGGCGAGATAACACTTTAAAGAGGATTATGATATCCAAGGTCCATTCCGTGCCTCGAAAACAAGGAAGACGGCCAACGGGTATAAACTTTGTCCACTTTGGTCTGAAATCATTATTTTCGAGTGAGCTTCTGGCGGGTATAAAAGTATTTATCGTTTCAATTCCAAATGAGAAGGAAAGAGAAATAATCATGCGAATTCTTTTTTGGTTGCTGTTCTAAATTAATCTACTAAGTATAAATGATGACATGCGTAATTTAATTCGTAGAGACAAGGCCTGAAAACTGTTATGGATTTTACAGGCCAAGTCTGAAAACGGGTGTAAAAAATGACGTGTTTTGGTCTGAAATAGAGTCAGGATTTGGAGAATCGGGCGGCACACCCCGCCACTGAAGAATTCCGAGGAGTACCCCCCCGAGTTATTTAAGATCCCGTGACGTCTTCGTCTCTGCTAATTACAAGTGTCGTTACTTTCAGCGATCTATGCCGAGTTTCCCTGGTATTCCAGGATCAAATGGTATACCGGGAATGCCGGGCGTCCCGGGGCCACACGCACCCCAGGGAAGGGAAGGTGTAAAAGGACACATAACGCCGAGATAACGCTTTAAGTAATGGTCCGCGTAAGAACTAGGCAGGCAGAACGCAAAATCGATTAAAAGGCGTTAACTTTTAATTTTTGATTTCAATTAAATGGTGGGTTCTGATTGGCTAAAATCCAAAAATTGACGAAAAAACAAAGAAAAACGTGACAAAAACAACTTTTTTTTAGCTTTATTTTCCCCATTCTCCTGTCTTTTACCTCACGGCCAAGTTTAAGCATTGTTCTGTGCGCCAATCAAAAGTTAGAGCAACACGCGCGCGACCTTGTTGTGAACCATCTTGGATGCGATATTTGAGATGTGAGGAAATTTGTCTTTTGCCCGAAGAAATGTCGTCAATTTCATCGCTGAAATCTACATATTTCCCTTTATAGATTGTTTATTGCTTTTGTTCAATGTATTTTATCATCGGAGTGATCGTGAAATTCCTACTGAAGCAGCGTTTGCAGCTGTCCTCAACATGTCGTCGAGTGGCCATGTGGACAAGCTAAGTAGGACCGAAGCAGTTGTTTATGTTGTCAGGAGGAGATCGCTTTCATTCAGTGATGATTCAGGGTAATTGTGAAGAATAGCTGGGCACAAAGAGTGGAAGCGATAGATTTGTTCTTTTTACAAAAATAAATTAAATTTCTGAAAGCTATGTGAGGCCGCCTGATTTGAGCTTGAGGTAAGCTGAACCCAATAAATTTTCGCATCACTGCATGATGTGACTGTGTAGTTATTTTGTCCTTTTCGAAACTTCAGAATTTTGTTGATCTTTACTCTTCTATAATTCGATTTGTTTTCAATCTAGGCTGTTTCGTCGAGCTAAGTGCAACTTAAGGCGAACGAATTGAAATTTGTGATTGTAATTTCGCAACAGTTGTAGGACGGCAGCCGCTTAGTTATCATATTATAAAAATGTAGCTCTCACTAGTTTTGAGTGTTACCTAGTACGAAAGATCATGCAAGTTTGACTGTAAGTATTTCCTTTACATTTTCTAAGAATGAAAGTAGGTTTTGCGGAGATATTTAGACTAAAAATATATCTACCATGTAAGACTGCGAAGAGAGCTTCTTCTGAGGCCGAATTCTCCGAACATCCATGAATTTTTTTTCTGTATGGACAATCGTCTTTTTATTCAAATGCGGGCCATTAAGATAACCCTCCGACATGATTTTATGAAATTGTCGTTCTTTATGGTGGCAAAATAAAAACGCGCGGCTTTGGCGCGTTCGCCATGTGAGCTTGGATTACTGCAGTTACACAGTTTTGACATTTCCTTAGTGAGAGCCAAAGTAGCTGTCTTTCAGAAGGTCGCCGATTGATGTATTCCTGTGCCATTTTCATGTAATTTTATATCAGTTTAACTTTGCTCGGATTTGGCGCACAGAAATCCTCCAAATTTTAGATATGTTATAGTTTTCAACATATCAGAGCAGTAGACAAAATAAAAAGTTGTTTGAATGACTCTTTTGCTATCTTAATTCATTTCTAAAATTCAAATTTCGCGCTTTTCGCCCTATTGACCAATCAGAGCATTCAAATTTAATTTGATTAGAGAAATTAGCACCTAAAAAATAACTGCCGCTATTGCACTGGCCTATTGTTCTTTTGCCTAGTTCTTACACGGACCATTACTTAAATAGGATTATGGTATACAAGGTCCATTCCGTGCCTCGAAAACAGGGAAGATGGCTGGCGGGTATAGACTTTGTTCATTTTGCTCTGGAATCATTGTTTTAATTTGAGGAAAATACGGGCGTGTATGAACGGAGTTATCCTTTCAGTTCTAAATGAAAAGGAAAGAGGAATAATTATGCAAATTATTTTCCGTTGCTGTTCTAAATTAATTTAAGTAGTGATGACATGCACAATTCTTAGAGACAGAAATTCCCAGGACTACCCCTCTCCCCCACTCCCCCGCCCGAGTTATTAAAGATCCCTTGTCGTCTTTGTCATATTTTCTGTTATTTCAGCGATCTATGCTGGGTTTCCCTGGTATTCCAGGATCAAATGGTATACCGGGAGTGCCGGGCGTCCCGGGGCCACACGGACCCCAGGGAAGGGACGGTGTAAAAGGACAAATTGGTGATAAAGGATCGCAAGGAATTCCGGGTCCAAGAGGAGACAGAGGGCGCGAAGGACCTCCTGGGAAGAGTGGACCCCGAGGAATTAAGGGAATAAAAGGTCAACAAGGACTTCTGGGAATGAAAGGAGAGCCAGGCATTGCGGGAATGAAAGGAGAGCAAGGAGCTGTGGGAATGAAGGGAGAGCAAGGCATTGTGGGAGTGAAAGGAGAGCGAGGCATTGTGGGAATGAAAGGAAGAAAAGGAGACAAAGGAGAGAAAGGAGAAAGTGCCAAAGCAAGTCAAGCAAGTGTAGTACCACAAACCAACTGGAAACAATGTGTTTGGAAATCACAGAGTAGTACTAATAACGGAAAGATTAAGGTAAATAGAATAAGGATCATAACACACTCCTAAGAAAATTCATTCCTTTTCGAATTAAAATCTTTCAAAGAAGAACGTCTCCCCTCTCACCTACCGTTTGACCACACATTACATAAACTAGGGTATCTAAAAGATAGTAATGCTGCGGCACATTCTGTTGATACTGGCATTAGTTAGGCAGTGAGACTGAAAAGAATCAAAAGTGACATTGAATGTCCTATTTGCATGTTGGAAAGTACTACTATCAGTCTACTATTACTATCAGTCTATAGAAAGAACTCGTGGGAATGTTGTTTAGAAAATGATCAAGTGGTTATCAACTCTGGTTTTCCAACAGTAAATTGTAGGAAATAATAGAAATTGAGATTGATTATCCAGATATTTAATATACAGTGCACAATATTTTCTCTGGAAACACAATACTTTTCTTGCTGTTTGTTGCACTTTATTAAAAGTAACAGTTATTTAGCTATATATTTATAGAAAACAACAACACCAAAAAAGGAAAAAAAAAAGACAGTAGAAATAAATAATTCGGTAGGACTCGCACCCGGCACCTTCGACTCGACGCGACTACACGTAACCACTGCACCACAGGGGCTGACAACGTAAGTTAGGGGAAAAGTGTTTCATTTTATTCCTTTTCTATGACACTTCCGCAGGCAAGATGATCGCCAGCCGCATTAACCCAGCTATTAACAGTGAAAAAACAATGTAAACGCATATTCCATGGCAATGAATGAATGAAAGAACACAATTATGCTTTTCAAAACGCCGATACACGTCCTGGTCTGCAAAGTAGGACACAAAACATATGTTTTGTTATCTCGATTTCCGCTGTTATTTTGAAGCGAATGGTCAAAATCACATCCATTTTCGGCTCATACAGTTTCTTAAAAATAGCATTGCATGACATTTTCTTACTTTCACATCACCTTCTAACAAGCTGGAATTTGTTTATCCCCCGTGTTGCGGAGTCGAAGAGCAAATGCTTATCTTCTCGTCAGGTTTAACACCTGGACGAGTCAAAGGCTCCTCAATTGAAATCCACTCCCCAAGTTAACCATCGTACTCATCTGAAAGACTCCTGCGTGTCTTAAAATTTGGTAAGACCTCTAACCGTGCTGTAGAACTGAGCAGCGAACTATGCACTACTTCCCCGTGTTTTTATTTGAGTTGTTCGCGGCGCAATGCACTCTGGTTAAATGCAATGCATTGTGGTAAAAAGTGTGGTTAAATGCAATGCATTGTGGTAAAAAGTGATGAATTCGAGAATTCGTCGCCCCTTTATATATTTCCTTTAAATCCTGATTATGTTGCTGCTCGCTCCCTTCGGTCGCTCCGCAAAAATAACTAATAAGTTTTATTTCCCTTTAATTTGGTTCTCTTTGAACAAAAAAAGGAAAACCATCGTGCGTGATAAAATGATTCCTGGCCATATGGATAAGGATAACAAAAATTTAAGCTATTATAGGGTTTTTAAACATAGGAAGTATTCTTGACTGGAGTAGTTAGTATCAATTATTACACACGGTTGCTCGCCTTACTACAATATGTTTGATTTGTTTGATTTTATTCCAGGACTGTGCGTTTAACAAACTGCAGTCTAATTCAGCGCTCAGAGTCTCATTCCAGGGCAACATGAGGGTCCAGGGTAATCATTATAGGTGTAACCGGTGGTATTTCAAGTTCAATGGAAATGAGTGCAGTGGACCAATGACGATTGAGGCTGCTGTAAACAACATCTGGCCCCAGTCTGGGAAGCCTGATCTGTTTCATCATCGGTCATTTGAGGGGTACTGTGAAAACATCCCACAAGGAGCTGTTAGAGTGGAATTATGGGTAGGACATTGTAGTAGCAACACCCTGGGTGATGCTTACACTGGGTGGGGTTCAGTATCCCGGATAATGATTGAAGAAGTATCTAGGCCCCAATCCTAATAAGGGAGGCCTTTAACTTTAGCGCTGTTGCAATCTCCTTAGAAGAGCATTCTACAAATGTAGACTGTAACGTGCAAGGTGCGAAATGATTGTTTTTTGTTTATTTTCTTTTTAGCCCTTTGTTATTATTTTGTCGCATTAGATTGTTATGCTGGTTTTCAGTGTAACGCCATTCAAAATAGATCAAAATCAAAATCAAAATCGTTCAATAGATAAAGTCCAGGATCTGGGAAATGAAAGAAGGTACATATGCAAAGACCCTCGCCAAGATTCAGGCCAGAAGAACATCCCGTATAGAAGATATCCGAAGAAATGTTTTATCCAAACTTATAGAGATTTGTATGGAGACGCCATGCTTGTGCTCACCTGGATGAGCTCCAACAAGGCGGACAGAAACCAACAGAAACATCTGTTACCGTGTTTGGCTACAAAAGCGTGAATTTATTTTTCGAGAAACTCATAACGTTAAAGTAATACTTTTTCTAATACATGAACTGTTTAGATAGCAAAATGTCCTGAAATAAGTCATTTTTTTAACCTACGTACATGACAGCTCTCTTGGCTGTCATGTAAATGCCGCGTCACGCAAAAGCTTAGAAATTCAAGCGTACTCTATGACAAAACCAAGAACCCTTTTGAAGCGAAAATTTCTATGAAAATTATTTTTCAGCTGTTCTAATGCATCGTGAAAGTAAAATCTCAGTAGGATCGATAGTTTTTTTAGTTTGAATTTTAGTGACGTTATGTGAAAACCAGCATAATAACAGTACCAAAATATTTGTATTATTATGTCGGCATGTTAGTCCTATCCACGCACGTTTGTGCAGCAGTTCTTTGTTTTGTCACGCAGTGCTTCTCAAGCTCCTTTGTGGGGAGGCATCTTTCGTGACGACAAAATAATCGGCTGAGCGCGTGCGCGTAGATGCAGCCGTTTTGTGCTCTCACACAACGCTCCTTCCCGTTACGTGACGAGACAAAAATGGCTGTGATAGAGAGCGATTGATTGGCATTGCTTTTTAGGTGATATGTTATGGATGCAAAATATATCACACAGCACAGGGAACCCATTTTCTCTTATAACAGCTGGAAAGATGAATATGGTTATAGGATAACTTGATTATCTCTAGCCCGCGTGGTAAGGGTTCGAAAGAGAAGGGAAGGGAATTTGGGCGCGAGACCGAGCGCGAAGGAGAAGGAAGGAGAGGAACGTATTAACCTTCCTCCTTCCTGGCGGCCCTTCGTGCTTCCCAAGCGCCCATATCCTCTATCCCTTCCCTTTGGTAGCATGAGAAAACAGCCGACGTTTGGCGCCACTACCACTGGTTTCCCCGCCAAATGACGTCTGAGAAACGAGCGCAGAAGTTCCATAATGATGACGCGTCACTACCCAGATCTGGGTAGTGACGCGTCATCAGTATGGAATTTCTGCGCTCGTTTCTCAGACGTCATTTGGCGGGGAAACCAGTGGAAGTGTCGCCAAATGCCGGCTGTTTTCTCAGGCTATCCCTTTGACAGGCTACTTAGATTATCTCACAAACAGTGGGGAAAAAATGGAATGTTTTTACTCGTAACATCGAGATTCTTGTCAAACCTCGCCATCACTTTAAAAGCATCTTTTATTTCTTTTATGTCAGTGCTGTTTGCTTCAATGTGTGATTAAAGCTTTCAATAAAAGACTATTTCTTACAGTATGTACAAATCTTGTCCATTAGTTTTCCTAACAAATAAGATTGAACTCATTATTTCCAGCCCCTTAACAGAAAACTTCCCGTACAGCCTCACAATATTGATCTAACAAATAAAGCTATTTGCAGACTTGCCTGTTCAAGTGCGTTTTTTAATAAAGACGTCCCATGGTTTCTTTCCCATAGAAAATAGGAGGGGGTGGGGGTCGTCACAATCATTAAAAAATCTAAACCACCTGGGCCCAGCTGTTCAAAGGCTGGTTAGCGCGTTGGGTTAAATTTAACCCAAGTTTCTTTTTTCTCTTTTGTTTAAAAACATTTTCTCGGATAATTTTCTCTGTCATTTATAAGAGGATCCAATCATTGTTGACAAAAAGAATTAATTTAAAAAACTGAACTTACTTTTTAACCTTTCATATCTGGGCCGGGTTTTTCGAAAGACGGGTTAAATTAACCTCGGGTTAGGCCTAACCTGAGGTTAAATTTCTTAACTGCAGGTTTGTTAACTTGGGTTCAAAATTGCGTTGTTCGAAGCACGGTTAGAGGAACTCGCCGTTAGCCTCCCATAATACCTCTTGGTTTTTTTAATTCCTAAACGGCGTTGGCGGAGGATCCCAGAAAAAAAATAATTTCAGCGCCTCAAAAATTGCTATTTTAACCGAGAACATGGACGAAAACTGGCACGTTTCGTGAAGTAAGTTGACAAACAGTGTGACAGTGGCGAAAGGAAAAACAATTGGACACCAAAAACAGTGACGTAACGCTGAAGGAGTGGCAGAGAGTTAAGAGCGGCCGTCCGTAAATATTGCCTTAACTAACTGAAAGCTTTTTTTTTTCTTGACCGATTTAACTTATCGTTAAGAAGGAAGAAAAAGGAATCTCATAATTAACGTTTGTATAAAACTATCAAGAAATTTGGAAATCTGGATTTTCTAAGCGAACAAATACTTTCGAAAAATTTAGAAGAAAGTCCGAGGACTGGTAATACCTTCTATCAATTATCCGAAGATATATTTCGCTTTCCAACCGCACCTTGTGGCGCTTTATTTTTGGGTGGAGCCAACATTAGCAGTGCCAATTTTTTTTTTTTTTTTTTTTGTGCCTGGGTTTCTCACGTTATGCGTTTCCGCAAGTGTGTCTTAGAACCTAAGCTTCAGGGTTTTTTACCTGGCCCGAAGGGGTATGTGATATATTCACCTGATATCGCCCCGAGTGCTATGTATGTAAAACTGTTCCTTTTCAGATTTTCGATAGTAATGCAAGAACAAATAGCTTTCAGTTAGTGCGAACGGCCTTTTCTTCTTTTTTGGGGTTTTTTTTCAAGCTAAGGTGCCAGGGGCACGATCATTGGTTTCACTGGGGTGGGGAAAAGGGACGGGTAACATTTCAGACTACGACTTTGCACTTTTTTCCCCTCGATTTCATTTTTTTTTAAGAATACAAGTAAGGAATTCATAATCGTATTTGAAAACGAACGTGATGGGAAACAAGAGACTACAGCGGAACCTCGATTTAACGAAGGGCCAAGGGACTGACAAAATTTTAGGGTTACCCAACGACGGTTTCCTGCTAAATTGATTGAAACCAGATTTCAGTGTACGTACCTAGAGTTCTTTTAGATCTCTAGAAATTCATTCTATGCGGCGCTATAAAATTTGTACCTGTTCGGTCATCCTAGGGGAATTTAGGTCTTTTCCAAATTACACAAGCGAGGGCTTCACTATTATTTTCTTCGAAATAATAGAATGATGCAATTTAACGTATCACGAAAGTGAGAATTTTTTTGATTACTCTCTCAATCACGTATTTGAATTCGAACATTCAAGGTTTCCTCTTTTCTACGAAAAAATAGCCTAACCTGGGATGTAAAATGTGAACTATTAAACTTCAGAAAATCGTGGGGAATTTATCAGATAACCTTCGGAAATTGTACATGAACGAAACGGTCATCTAGACATTTTTAGGGGTCCTCAAGCTATAGAAAATTCTAAGTAATATTTGCTTCTCCGAACATATATTTTACAGAAAACAGTCGTTGGCTGCCCCTGTAATTTGTTCGCTATAACGAGGTTTCGTTATATCGAGCCTCTTTTTCATCTATTTTACTATTATTGCGATAAAGAACTGTATATTAAAGGCCTACCCCTTTATAGTTTAATGAGAAAAATATATTTTTTAGTATTACGGTTGCAGGGTCGCTCTGGCGGATGAGTCAATGAAACTAGGGATTTTGATTATTGAAATGTTTTGCTTCTATAGTTGCAGACGTTTAAGGTGCCGCCTGAGTTTCTTTTTCCGAATGGTATCTGTCTTCGAGGTATAACCTGGGTTTGAAAGTTTCTATGTCACGCAATCTCGTTTCGCTAAAGGATTCGGGTCTGTTGTCAAAAAATGTGAGGTAGGTAAAAAAGTTTTCCTTTCAGAGCTATAACGATTAGTTTCATGAGAAATGAGAGCATTTTGAAGAATAGCTACCGAAACTAAAGCCGTTTTGTACATAAATGATAGCTCTTACAAATACCTTAAAACTAAACAAATACTCACGTAAGGGAAGTGTTTACTTGTAGTCAAGAAGTTCATAGCTCACTTTCGCACAGTGAAATTGCCTTTCCTGTTGAAAAATTACCACTTTGAAATCTAGAATCATTTTTGGTGTTTTAATTGTGGCGGAAAAGGGGCGAATTTGCGCCGGAGTTGCAAATGCTGTCTAAGTTCTCACTTGTATTCATCAATATAACTGCAAGTTCAAAGATCGTAAACCACGCAAGTACCGTAAATGTTTTCAGGTGTAAAAACTCGCAGTTTGAATTGCCCCCAAATTTTATTTCACAGATTGAAAGCATTGCTTTTTCTTTGGAATGCCATTTTTCTAATGAAAGCTGTGTACCAGGAAAGTATTTTCGCCGTTGAAAAATGGCAAAATTGATGTCGCGATAATACTGATTTAGAGGGTAATTTTGAAAAAATATTAAAAAAATCAGATTGAAATCTTTTGAATTTGTAACAACATTTGGATTCAAAGGAAGGATCATGAAATTGTTTAATATAAGAAATGTTATGGTATTAGTATTCATTTCCATTCACGAAGCAAGGGTATCAAGCACATTTTTCGGTGGTTTGAAGGCCTCTCGACGGTTAAAATTAAAAAAAAAAAAAAAAAAAAAATGATTATTTTGGAAAATATAAAGTCAAACGAACTGAGTCTTGTATTTTCTGAAATAGTTTCCAAAGGGCATTGTTGTGACAAAGTTTGGGGGATTCCTGAAGTCAAGCAACGAGAAAGCGCCGGAGATACGCTGGAACTTTGCATGAGAA